TGGTAGGGTAAATATTTTATCAAGCTTGTTTAGCGTCACATTACGCAGGTCCCTTGGAGCAAATCATGAATGAAAACACAGGCAGCTTCTGTTGAGTTTCACAGAACACAACTCGCTGATAGTGGAGCCGCTCATTTTGCAAAGAGAGTGAGAGATAATTTTGTTTTTCCCCTGACATTCAGGGTCTGCGATGGACTAGCGATAGGTATAGGCTTCATCCTCTCTGTGATGCTCCACAGAATAAAGCAGGTATAGCTAGTAGATAGATGGATCTAGTGAAGCACACTTCATGGTAAAGGGTTTTGCATGTTTTGTTGGACTGAAAACACTCGACCCCCTTCAGATGTATGCTTTTTGCAAATGTTTGGAGGCAGTTTAGCTCAAAACAAACTATGTATAATATGTTAACAAGAGGTTTGTGTTGTCACTATAAGTCTACACCAGTGTGGTGAAGCAGTTGTTCGCGTCACATGCCGTTCATTATGGGCAGACCTGTTTGTCAGACTAGAACATGTAGTTTAACATGCAGGCCCCTGTGTCAACAGCTGCAGATAAAACTCACACGGTTACTACTGTGCAGTTACACAACATAGCTGCTCGGTTAGTCACAAAGATGTCACTGGAACACGGAGTGGAAAATAAAAAAACTGGGCTAAAATACAATATTGATAAGGCAATATGTATTGTATCACTTTCACTTGCACTGTATTATTGATACACTGGCGGCAAATAGTGAGATTTGTAATACAGCACAGCACTAAATAGAATCCCATGACCAATTTGACTTCCTAGATTCAATACTTCATGGCTAGTCATGGTGCTGCTTATCAAAGGACTGTGGGAAAAATGAACACAAGTTTACTAAACTGTGGTGAAGAAGAAGAAACTCACAAGGGACATGGCAGACAAAGCAAATCAGTGAGCTAAAAAAATAAACGGACACATGACTGCAATTTAATAAAACGATAACACACACAAACACTCGCTGTTTTTCCACATATTTGTGAGCCAAATTTGAAGGGAACCTTTAAAATGTCGAGAAAAAAAGAAAAGAAGAAAACGTGAATAAGACTTATTTCCTTTAAAGGCTTTAGAGGGAATAAATTAGGCTGCGTCGTGCGTTTCTGACGGTACTTTACGACTTCATGCATGTTAGTAATACACCGACTAGAAGATGCAGGAAACAAAACCAGCTGTCTGCCACTGAATAGGAAGCCTTGAAGAAGAAGAAACAAACAAAACTATTCCCATTAATGAGAGAAAAATGGAGAGAGGTCTTCAGGAATGGTTGAAGTTGGGAAAATTGTAACTCTTCCTTCATGTCAGCTGGTGTTGGCCAATGTTTCACGCTGTCCGTAATAACGAAGAACATCTGATCTGTCCAGTAGATAAATATTACAACATCCTAATGTATTCAGTAAAAGGTGTTTCCATCTACTGGAATGAGCATAATCGCTTTTCCCAAGAAGTCAAAAACCAACTCAAGGCTCTGCAAAAATGCTAAATTGGGTGATTTTCACTCCATTAACTTTTTCTTGTGAAATACTATAACTACAGGGATTGTCCTCTTGCAGTTACACAGACATTGTAGCTGATTGTCTCCCAGCGTATGGACAACCTCTGAATGGTGACCATGATGGTACCATCCTGTAATATGCTGTGATTTCCACTCCCTCCAAATCAGCCTCCTGTTAAATATACCACGACAAAGGGTAGTCTGACACACCGCAATGAATCTGACGCTAGGTAAAGTGTTCCTAACACCTCCATGCCGCATAATATGCATTCCATTAAGTGCATGGTCCTGATGTCACTGTGTGCATGTGGAGTAGCCTCCAGTCGGCTCCCTGTGACTCACCATGACGACCGCTCATAGTAAAGCTCACAGCTGCCTGCAACTTAAAGAAACAACCGCACCGCAAAGGATGGCTTTAAAACAACAACAACAACAGAATCTAGGTATGATTATTCAGCACGGTGAGGAGTCTGGAAGCCTTTAGCTCCCTGACTAAGATGTGCTGTTCCCTCCTGGGCACTGAGCCTCGGAGTGCGGCACCCGCGGCGGGTCGCATTTCCAGCGCATGGATCAGTCCGTACTGCAGCAACTGTCCCACAGCCAGAGCGCCTTTCTGCTGAGGTGCAAAGTCACACCCCCACTGGCTCACAAAAGCACTTAAATGTACTAAACTCTGCTGAATCACCATTTAAAAAAAAAAACACTGAGTGGTTATTAAGAAAAGCATTACGAGGTGCTGCTTTTGCATCATATGATAAGAGTGATAATAGCCCCGAGCCGGCTGTTAACGGGCCCCCGGGGGAAAAAAAAAAAGACAGAAAGAAAAAGGAAGGCTAGATAAGTAAAAGAAAGCCCCTAAAGCTCATAACCACTCATGCATGATGCTCCGGCAGCAGCTGCTCTCACCTCTGGCTGTTGGAGATCCAGCGTTGTGCTCGCTGCTGCAGACACACTTGACTGAGCTCCGCGGCTCAGCGTCCTGTCAGCGCCTCACTCACCGGCTCCGGCTGCGTCAACACCGCGGCAAACACACCCGCCGGCACCGGGGGGCTGTCCTTCACTATAACAGCCCGCACTCACACGCTGAACCTGATGTAAATGTTTGGAGCTGCAGGGACGTTAAAAATATCAAACGGAACATGAACACGTTTCTGGACACGGCTGTAGCCGAATTAGCTGTAAAAACAACAGCGATAGGTTAGCTAGCATTAGCAAAGACACTTTTACTCCAGCATTATTAGTATTCATTAGGGCCTGTTTCAGTCCACTTGGTGAAAATGAGAACATTATTAATATTATAACATTTTTACTTACTTTTTGCTCTATTTTTGTCGCAACCAACCTCTGAGAAAATGTTAGGTTCATTAGCTGCTAAATGCTAACTTTGTTCAGCAGCTAGATGCTAACTTTGTTCAGCAGCTAGATGCTAACTTTGTTAAGAAGCTAAATGCTAACTTTGTTCAGCAAGTAGATGCTAACTTTGTTAAGCAGCTAAATGCTAACTTTGTTCAGCAAGTAGATGCTAACTTTGTTAAACAGCTAAATGCTAACTTTGTTAAGCAGCTAAATGCTAACTTTGTTCAGCA